GAGAGCGGCTTCCGGGGTCACTGTCGCCCCGCGGACGGAGGGGATGGGTCGCGGGGGAGACTCTTGGATTGCAACACCGCTGGCTCGCGGGGGTGGGGGCCGGCGAGCGGGCTTGTTTTCGGTGCCTTGAAACCAAAACAAGTCTAAGTTTTCCTGCGCCTCTGAAGATGCTGCCCTGGCGCTTGCTGGGGCCCTGAACGTGAGCGCCTCGCTGGAGGGAGTTTTATTGTTTTGGGGATGGGTTTTTACCGGTTGAATAGTGGTTGGCTCTGGTAGTTAACGTGCGTGGGAGGAAGGTAAGGGAGTGATTAGCTGGGCTTGTGATCGTGGCCTGTAGTCACGCTTGAATCGCAGAATGAAGTGGTTTCGTTTTTATAATTGGAAGTTACGCTTTGTTTCTCTGTTTGCAAAGTGCTTGTCTTTGGGGAGTTCGGTTTGTTTCCTTTTATAGGACCTACCCCGAATGTTTCTTGAAGAACAAGAAACATTGTGTTTGGGTAGAGAAGCTGTGCAGCGGAAGACAGAACGGATCCTGAGTTTGTCCTGATTGCTCCTTCAGAGGTCCCTTCCCTAGACCACTGGGTGGTTGCAGGTGTGCGCTTGTGTGGTGTGTCAGGGTTTGGGATCTTGCTTCAGAAACATCCTGGGGGCCTGGGGCAGATCAGGTGCGGCCAGGTGAGCGTCTCCTGACTGCAGGTGCCTGGGTCTTGCAGAAGGGAATACCTCCCCAAGCCTGGGAGAGTTTGCGTGCAGGAGGACCTTCACAGGCTTCTTGTGCCAGCCGTCGTGGCGACCACCCGTTGTGGAGATGAGTGCGGTGGAGTTGTGGGAGGTGAGCGCTTTGCTCACCCTCCGCCAGGAAGTTGCTCGGAAGTCGGTGCTGTCAACCAGCAGAGCAAGGTGGTGATCCGAGAAGCTAAAGCTCAGCCGGTCGCGGGTGCCCAGCAGGATAGAAGGCAGACCTTCGGGCCGCTCCTGGAGTGCTTGGCCCTGTCCTGGTTGCTGCAGTGTCTGGGCCTTCCTTGGCTCTGATAGATGAGGGTTGTTTTTGTCTTTGTCTCATATAAGTTCCCTGCTCTGAAGGGTCTAGTAACTGCTAGCCATTCACTTAGTGCTTATCTGTTCATTTGGAAAGGCAAATTCGATTTTCAGCGGGATTTTGAATGCTTGGTCTGTGTTGTGATTACATTGTAACAGATTGGCCACTTTCTCCAGGAGACCAGTAGGAGGGGGAGCAGGGGGAGGGGCCTGGCTTCTGCCTAGGACAGGGTGGGTGTGCACCTGTGGCTCCTTGCCCTGTGGTGCAGTTTCCTGTGAGACCACCCCATGGTGCTGAGTGCTTTGGGGCAGGGGATACAACAGCATCAGCCAGACCTTGGCGGGAGGTCTCACAGGAGCACCCTCACGACTTCTCACATCTGAGACAGCAATAGCTAGGTGCTGGGACGGGGGCCTCTAGGTGGCTCTGTCCGGTCCTCAGCAGGAGGGCTGCCTGTGGCAGGGTCCCAGGCCTGGCTGGCCTCTCTGGGGCTGGCCTCTCTGGGGCCTGGCCTTGCCTGGCTGTGAGGATCGTGTGGGCCATGGTCCTTCAGTATCTGCAGCACTGGCCTGGGGCTTCAGAGACCTGCTTGATTCCTGGCCCCGCTCAGACCCCGGGCACCTGGGAGGTCGTGGCCCCTCAAAACGGCTGTTCACCAGGCTGCTTTGCAGCGCAGCAGGCACAGGCTGTGGCCACTCATGAAGCCCACCCTGGGGCTGGGGAAGCGAGAGCTGTGAGTCCTCAAGCCACATCTGAACTGCTCCATGTGGAAGTGGAGGGTGGAGACAGTGCAGAGAGAGCCTTGGAACCGTGATTGGCGGGAGCTCCACTCCACTCTGAGCCCAGCTGTGTCCCCCACTTTCTCCCTTTCTGGCCCCTGGCTTCCCCCCACCCCCACTTAGAGAAGGGCATGGGGACGGGCAAGTGGTCCAGAGGGCAGGCGGCCTGCGGGCTCCTCTGCATCCCTGTGAGGAGGGCATGGGGAGGGACATCCCGGTGGGGCCCAGTCTGGGGCTATCTGTCTTGGACTTAATCGTGTAGCTGGAGGCCAGTGCCCGGATGGCCCCTGTCACCCTCTCGCTGTGATGCCAGCACCTACTGACTGGAGGACCCGGGTTCCTTTGCCTGATTTTTCTCAGGCTGCCCTGAGGATCCGTGTTTGGTTAAAAAGGAGCCAAATCCACCTGCAGGGCAGGCGGCTCTAGCAGCCCCGCCTGGCTTCCAGCACCCTGGTTCCCTGGCGACACTGGACCCGCCTGGGCTTCCTTGATCCCAGCCCCACCCCTGATTTCTGCTTTGCTGCCTCGGGAAGCCATCGTGCCTCCCAAAACCTGAATGTGGGCCTCTCGGAGCTCCTTCCTCAATGAGTCTGCTGGGGACTGGGCCTTGCCTCCCTAACAAGTGCCAGGTGAGGCTGCGGCGGCTCCGGCCCAGGTGGAGCTGCTGACCTGGCCCCTTCCTGCAGCTGTGAGGTGTGTGAGGTTCGTGGGCCTGCACAGGTGCGGGCGCCATCCAGGTCACTAGGGCCCTTGTAGGGACGGCCCCCCACGGTTTGGAAGGCCTGGCGCAGCCCCCAGCTTTGTCGAGGTGGCCCTTGCTTGGCGCTGAGATGCCAGACTTGGAGGTAGCTTCAGTGTTCCCGTGGACTTTGAAAACCAGCGCACACTTGGGTTTGAATTCTCTGGCAGGTTTTGTGCCCTGAGTGCTGTTTTTCATGGTAAAGGTGACCACCAGTAGGGTGACAGGTGAGGCTGGTGTCGAGGCTGCTGGCCCTGTCTGCCTGGTGTCCCCGGGGACAGTTCGGGCCGACAGGCTCCCGCTGGGAACCAGAAGGCCAAGGTGCCAAGCCCCTGAGGTCCCGTGCAGAAGTGTGGAGCTGGAATCTGGCGTGTGTGCCGCTGCCTCTGACCAGGGACCTGGTCCCGTACCCCATGCTCCTGCCCTGCCCCACAGGACCCGTCTGTCCCCTGAAGCCACAGGGACATGCTAGCGGCTGCAGGGTCCGGGAACGGTGGCCCTGTGGGGGGCTCCTCTTTCAGCGAGGCTGAGCCTCTGCCCTGTGGTACTTGTTCCACTCTGTCTTCAACACGGTGAAACCCCATCTCTACTAAAAATACAAAAATTAGCCGGGCATGGTGGCGGGGGCCTGTAGTCCCAGCTACCCGGGAGGCTGAGGCAGGAGAATTGCTTGAACTCAAGAAACGGAGGTTGCAATGAGCCGAGATAGCGCCACTGCACTCCAGCCTGAGGGACAGAGTGAGACTCCATCTCAAAAAAAAAAAAAAAAAAAAAAGAATATTAGGTGTCCCCCTGGCCCGGCTTGAGTCTCAGTTCTGAGCGCCTGATAGTAAGGCAGGGACCCAGATAGTAAGGCGGGGACCCAGCCCTGCCTAGTCCCCACCTGACGGTTCAGTGAGGACCCTGCCACGCCAGCCACCACAGGGTGGCAGCTACCGCCCAGCCACAGCGGCCCAGCCTCTGAACATCCGTCTCCACCGTGGAGCAGAGGCCGCGGCACGTGTCGCAGACCAGGGCTCGGGGGGCCCATGGGGAAGGGGTCCTACCTGCCCCCCCACCCCCGGTGATCTGGGAGCCCCAGTGATCTGGAAGCCTGGACGACGGCTTCCAGGAGGAGTCTCTGCTGGGCTGGGCTGGCGCCTGTTAGGAGCAAGACTGCCCACTGCGGGCCGTGTGCACGTGGCGGGGCGGCAGCAGCCCGCTCGCCTGTCCTGACCGCATGCTCTGCCTCCTGTGTTCCAGGGACTCTGAACATGTCGGGGATCGCCCTCAGCAGACTCGCCCAGGAGAGGAAAGCATGGAGGAAAGACCACCCGTTTGTAAGAAGGCTTCGTTTCCGTGTGCAGTGCCGCGGACGGCCCCCCTGGGCTGAAACCGTGCCCCCCTCACTGGGAGGGAGCTGGCCGCGTGCCTGGGTCGCGCTGGTGGGGCTCGCGGGCCGGTTCTCGGTGGTTTTGGTCAAACGAGATGCCACCGCACTGATGTGCTTTTGTGGTTGTTTTCTCTCAGGGTTTCGTGGCTGTCCCAACAAAAAACCCCGATGGCACGATGAACCTCATGAACTGGGAGTGCGCCATTCCAGGAAAGAAAGGGGTAAGAGGCGTGCGCTGCTAGCCTCCTGCCTGTCAGGGCTCAACAGATGCGTGTGGCAGCGCCACGGGGAAACCGCTCAGATCCCTGCCGTCTGTGACGGCTGCCCTTGTCACGGGCTGCGGACAACAGGTCAGATCCCCAGCTGTGGCCTGGCCCCCGCCCCGTGCGGGCTTGAGCTCAGAAGGTGGTGCTGGCAAGCTTGGGGTGACAGCTGTGTCCCCACCGAGGGCATTTCTGGTTGAGAAGGAAGCGGCTGGGCACAGGGCTGAGCTGTGGCAGAGGGAGGGGCTCTGGTGTGTGTGGGGAGCAGGCCTGAGGGCGGGCAGCCTTTGCAGGCGGGAACCCGGGATTCTGCTGTGTCCTTCCAGGTGTGGCTCAGGTCACGGGAGCTGGGTCTGCCGGAGAGCCACCCCGGTGTAAAGCCGCCTCCTGGAGAACCTCCTGGGGCACAGGGACTGGCGACAGCAGCCTAGGATGCCTGCTTGGGGCCCCCTGTGTGTCTGTGGGGAGCAGGGCGGCCCGTGTGCCTGTCGTCTTTGCCCGGCTCCCGTGAAGCACTTGGCTGGGGCCTCCAGGCTGGTGTGCACATAAGGTTCATGCTGGTGAACCCTGAAGGAAGGAGAGAGCCCTGAGGTGCTGGTCCTGCCCGAGGCCTTGTTCCCTCCGGCCCATGCCACCCTCTGGGTTTCACTCTGAAACTCAAAGCAGCTTCGGTCCCCCTGAGCTGAGCAATCCCAGCAGGTGTCAGCTTTGCCTGAGACATGGTGTCACTTGGGTTTGTCGCTTGTCTGAGGCTCTGCTGAGAATGTCCCTTGCTCTTCACGTCTCTGCGACGCAGGTGTGCGGCCCCGAGGAAGATGGGAGTGGTGTCGGATTGTGGGGTGGCAAAGGCGCCTCGTCCAGGCAGGATCTGGGGCGAGGCTTGCAGAACCCCTGGGGCGAAGGCTGTGCTTTTGGTGCTGCCGCCCCAGTGTGCGGCACCCGCCGCCCCGGCCCAGCCCCCGAACCCCGTCTCGTCTCCTTGCTAGGAGGACCTTTCCGACTTACTCTCTGGGCACAGCAGAGGTCCTAACAGTCCCCTTGGTGGGGCCAGTCCAGGCTTTAGGCTGGTTTGGGAGCCGCCTCTGTCGGGCCTCTGGCCCCGGTGCCCTGGCAGTCCTGGGAGCTGTGTCCTAGAGGCGAGCCCCTTCCTCCTGGGCTGGCCTGAGGCGGGCAAGCCGCCTATCTCACCACAGTTTATTTCCCCACAGACTCCGTGGGAAGGAGGCTTGTTTAAACTACGGATGCTTTTCAAAGATGATTATCCGTCTTCACCACCAAAATGTAAGTAGCTCACTGTTGAGTGTCCTGGAAGTCAGCCTGTTCCTGTGGGGATCGGAGTCCTCTCCAAAGAGGCCCCAGGCTGTGGCCGTGGCGCCCGGGCCAGGCGATCCACGTGGAGCTGGGAGGAAGATCACAGACCTGGAGGTCGGCTTTGATCCCTGATCCCCGGCTCAGGCTGCAGATTCGAGTCTGTTTCCAGCTCCGGGGGTGGGCAGTGCACGTAATAGACTTAGTCTCTCGTCCCAGCTAATTGGCTGTGAAGCTCCAGAGTCCGGTGGAGGGAGGGGCTGTGAGATCCAGGCTGGAGCTCCTGGGCTAGGAGTGCCTGGACCCTCAGTGGTTGTTGGCGATGAAGACAGGATTTGGTGCCCACAAGACCCCGGCCCTGGCCGGGATGGATGTGCAGAAGGACCATCACTCAGAGTCTCACCCTCTGAGGATTTATCTTGCTCCACCTTCTTAGCGCTCTTCCTGTGGTCTCTCACGTTCTCTCCCAACCGTGGCTGTGTCTGCAGCCTGGGCAGGCCTCGAGTAGGTGAACAGCAGAGAAGGCGTGGGAAGAAAGGGCTGAGGCTGGGTTCAAAATCGAGCCTACAGCTAAGTTAATGATCTCAGTCAGTTCAGCAAAACTCAGCAGAGGAGGGAGAGGGCCGCCGCGTCCCTGCTCTCCCGTAGCTGGAAATCGGCGGGCCCTGTCTGTGGTGAGTTCCACGCGTTAACACGCACCCAGCATCTAGAGAGTGCCTGGCCACGGCGCGGCGAGAGCTGTGTGTAAAAGCTTCCCCTGCGACTCGCTCAAGACACACAAGTGTTTTCCACGGTGGCACTGACCGGAGGAGCTCGAGGGCTGCTGACAGCACCACCCGGCTGAGACTTGCTTCATTTTGGATTGTCCTTTGCTGTTTGATTTTTTTTTTTCTTAAACCATGAGTGAATATTAAGATGATTTATTTTAATTAAGAAAAATACAAGAATGGGACAGAGGAGCTGCTTTCATTTATTCTGTTCAACCATTTATTGGAATTCCAAGCAAATGCAGCAAGATGAGAAAAAGAAGTCACAACGGAAGAGGTGGCGAGGAAGGCCAGGACAACAGCTCACTAAAGCTGAGGTGCAAGCAAGGCTGGGCGCGGTGGCTCACGCCTGGAATCCCAGCACTTTGGGAGGCCGAGGTGGGAGGATCACCTGAGATGAAGACCAGCCTGGTCAACGTGGAGAAACCCTGTCTCTACTAAAAAAAATTACAAAAATTAGCAGGTGTGGTGGTGGGCGCATGTAATCCCAGCTACTTGGGAGGCTGAGGCAGGAGAAGTGCTTGAACCCAGGAGGCTAAGTTGCGGTGAGCCTAGTTCACACCACTGCACTCCAGCCTGGGCAGCAGAGCGAGACCCTGTCTCAAAAAAAGAAAAGTAGCACAGGACATGGTGAAGGAAACAAAACTAAATAAATATAAAAATAAAATAGAGATTGAGATATACACAAATCTGCTCTTATATCATTTCAATGACCAAGGATTTAAAACTATGCCATTTATAGCAGCTTGAAATACGTTGGAATACACTAAAAGATTGGTTGAGGACTTCTCTACTGAAAACTGTAGAATATTCCAAGGGAAGCCGAGGCTGGCCTGAGCAGTAACTGAGCTCTGCTTTGCGTGTGGAGGGGAAGACACGATGCTGCACAGGCGGCCCTTCTCTCCAGGCCCATCTGTGGATTCCGTGTGATCCCAGCCGAGTCAAGCACGTCTTGGTGGAAACTGCCCCGTGGACTCTGGAAATGCAGAAATGCAGAGGCCTTGGCTTCTCGGTAGGGGTGGCGAGACCCGGGCTGAGGCTGTGGTGCACAGCGCACCCCCCCACCCCGCCGCCCCCGCCAGATCTGCCACGGGACGCGGTGATGAGACTGCGGGATTGCTGAGGACAGGCAGGCAGGCCTGCGGACAGAGCAAGGAGTCGGGGCCACACTGGCGGTGGCTTGGGCTGTGACAGGACCAGTCCTAAGGGATGTCGCAGCAGGAGAGGCGAGCCCTGCCTCCCACCGTACCTGCCTCCCACCGTAGAGAAACAGCTTCCGGAAGGACTGTGGCACCCGAGCAGAACGGCGTGGAGAGGAAGCCGGAAGGACTGTGGCACCCGAGCAGAACGGCGTGCAGAGGAAGCCGGAAGGACTGTGGCACCCGAGCAGAACGGCGTGCAGAGGAAGACCCAGGAGGGCGCCTCGCGAGCTCTGGGCAGGCGGGGATCTCTTCACCAGGGATGCACTGAAGTGCTGGCCGGGGGGAGGCCGACGGGTTGACTAAATGGAAGGTAAGAATCTCCCTCTATCCCAAAGACTGCAGGTGGCGCCAGGCAGGTGGGCACACCGTAGTGTATGTACGTGTCTCAGCCCTCGCCCTGAATCTACCAAGAGCTCCTGGGAATCCGTAAGGAGGCAGACAGCCGTGAGGCCTCTACCCGGCCAGCAGACGCGGCAGGGATGCCTGGCTTTGCCAAAGAGTGGAAGCCTCCGCAGTGGGACCTGTCGTACCGCACAGGGGAGCAGACAGCCGCAGCACAGGGCAGCAGGAGCCTGAACCACCGCTGGAGCGGGCAGATGTTCTGAGCGTTTCCCCTGGACGCTGCCTGCCGCACTGGTGGAAGCCGAGCTCATGTTGTAGGGCCTGGCTGTTCACTCGAGTCAATCAAGATTCACAGAAACACACGCGTGTGTCCACCAGAGGCACAGATGGGTGCCGGTGTCACCCCCACTTGCCGCAGCCCAGACGTCCTAGGATGACAGATGGGGAAGAGTGAAGAGGCCTCATGACACCTGGCAGGCAGTCCAGACAGGAGGGCACCTCCTTTCTGTTCCTTCTGCGAAGCATGGCCACCTCCAAGCTGGAGGCCATGAGGAAGGAGGAGGCAGCCCCCACCTTGGGAGGGCCTGGCGGTGCTGGCG